GGACTTGAACCATGGACAACCATGAGAGAGTCCAGTGCCTTAACCATCATGTCATCTGCTAGTCTCCAGGTATTTGTGTTAAAGGGAATAATTTTAGAGGAAATTGTTTGAGAATCCTCTTGGGGAGACTTGGTCATTTGGAAGTCTTGGGATTTTGTTTATATGACAATTTTTCCATGTAACAAATGACTTTGCAATAAGATTAAGTATTCAAAAGCAAGGTATTAGGATTTATTTAGTTTTGTAAGCAGAATAATTAAAAAGTTTTTTCTATGTATTTTGCTTTCTTGGAACTTCCATATAGGGATCATTAATTGACTTATCTTAAACTTTGTGATAATCAGTTGACTCCAAGGATAAAACCTACACTTTACTTGCAAGATACTTCCCTCTCCTAATTTTCCTTCTCCTCCACAGCTGCCCCCTATTCTGTCTCATTTGTGGAAACTTTTTCCTCCTCCTTGTCTTGCTCTTCTATCTCCTAAATAATCTCATTTAGTTCTAAGGTTTTAAGTAATTACCTATCTATATATTGATGATTCTAAAATTATATATGGCTTCAGTGTCTTCTCTGTAGTACCAACCTGTTTTGTCAGTTATGTACTCTACATTTTCACTTGTATAATAGGTATATGTATTACACTATATGTAGTACAAAACTATTGTTTTCTCACTCACATCCATTTCCTTCCCTGACCCTTTTAATCTTAGTTAATGGCACCACCATTCACTGGGTTGTTCAGGGCAAACCTGTATGAATAACTCATGGTTTCTTCTTTTTTTCTTTCTCTTTACATCTTCTAATCTATCAGCTGTATATCCCTTAAAATGTCAGGAACCTGACCACTTCTTAGTGCATCATCTACTGCCAGTTTCATCTGAGCATCTCCTGACTAGACAACTACAGCGTTGCAGGTTGAGTCTTCTGAGAAGCAGACTTTGAGACAGTTTAGTGTGTAGAATATTTGCTAGGATGTATACTTTGGATAACCATCTGTGAAGAACAGGGTAAGAAATCAATATTTGGCATCTTTTAGCCTTTTTTTGAGAGAGATATTTTTGCTATAGAGCATGTGTACTTCCTGGAGAGACAGAGAGAGAGAGAAGTGAGAAATCACCCCCTAGGGGGGATGGCCACACCACAATCCCTTCTCTTTCATTCTCCTCTTGGAATTTTGGGCATGCATGCACACGTGCCCAGCATGTTAAAGCCTTTAGGTCTGAGATTTGAACTGTAGTCAGCCATGTGGTAGTCAAGCAATGTAATGTGCCATCTGCTGGTCCCACAATTCTAGCCCATGAACATTGTTGAACTAAACTAAAATGACTTGTTAGAATTGTCTCACTTAAAAATGGACAGGCTTTATACTCCAGTCTTAATCAGTTGTTGGATAAGGATAACATTGAGAAAGGCATGATGGCATGACACTGGGTGAACCAGCTTTCTTTGTGCAGCTAAGGAGATCCTTGAAAGTACATCCAGGTGTAAGTTCTCTGCCTAACAGCAGTTAGGGCAACTCTCTTCTTGAAGGGAAATCTGGATGGCACATCTTTGCGTCCACCAAAGACCACTCTTGTGTCCACTTCTTCATATGCATTTGGTGAGTGACCTTCAGCATTCCAATTGGGTTGCATTCTAGAGGAAAATTAGAAGGAGATTAGTGGCTTGAACTGTGGCTCTTGCTGCATAGTTTATCTCAGGGTTACACCTGATACCATCCCCCTTCTGGACCATCTATTCTAACCTTGTGTTATCTTGAACTTGTACTTCTGTTATTCTTGGCATCTGAACTGGTCACCATACCCTTCTTAGGCCAGATTTGTAACACTTGTCCATTCATTTTCAGAATTGGTCAAGAGAGTTTTAAGAGCCAGCAGGAGTCAGCAGGTGGTATGGTGGGTTGAGCACTGGATTCCCACATGTCCAACTGAGGTTTGAGTCCCAGGCCCAGTAGCTTGAAAAACATGCCAGGTGTTTGTACATTTGTGCACAAAATCCTGAGAGGAGAATGGATGAGAAGAGATTGCAGCTTGGCTCTCCCCCTGAGGGTTGATTTTTCACTTTCCCTCTCTCTGTTTTTCTCCAGTGAGCATACATGCCCTATAGCAAAAAAAAAAAAAACAAAAAAAACTGAAAAAAGGAATTCCCCAAGAGAATCACTAGTGTGCCAAACATACTATTCCTAGCAGCCCTGCCTCATCCTGATGATCAGGACTGCCAAAGATGGTCACTTCTCTTCTTGCCTTTTATTCCCCAATAAAAGCAGCTAATGTGCCAGGCACCATGTGTGGTTACAGTTTAATGAGATGCTTGTTACATTCCCAAACAAAAGTATTTTCTCTTTGGGTGCCAGGACCTCTAATCCTTCAGACTCCACAGCCACAAGGATAGCAAACACAAATTAGGAGTCATGATGAGCAAGTCACTTCTGTTGTTACCCCTTGTTCCAGGACCGATGTTTTTCCTACTAGGGACCCAGCATTATATAAAGGGTTTTTTTTTTGTTTTGTTTTATTTTGTTTTATTTTTGTTATTGATTTCTGACTTTCTTCTGTTGTGGTTAAGAAGCATACTTTCTAGGGTACTGTCTTCTAAAATCTATTGAGACTTAATTTGTGGTCTAACATATAGTCCATCCTGGAATATGTCCTACATGCACTTAGGAAGAGCATATATGCTGTTACTTTGGATAGAGTGTTCTGTGTATGTCTAGTAGAACTTAATTTATTGTGCTAAGTTCTCTGTTTCCTTAACTATATCTTGTTCTGTTTGTTATTGAGAATGAGGTATTGTTGAAATCTCCAGTGGTTATTGTGGAACTCTCTCTCTCTCTTCAGTTCTATCAGTTTTTGCCTATATATTTGAGTAGTCTCTCATTAGGTGTGTAAATGTTTATAACTGTGATATCTTCTTGCATTAAACCTTTTTATTAACATATAATGCTCTTCTTTGTCTCTTGTAGCCTTTTTGGTTTAAAGTCTATTTTGTCATCTTCTTGATTAAACCTTTTTTTTTTTTTTTTTAATATGTAATGCTCTTTGTTTCTTGTAGCCTTTTTGGTTTAAAGTCTGTTTTGTCTGATAATAGTATATCCTCCCCCTTCTCTCCTCTCCTCTTTCTCCTCTGCTTTCTTTTCATTACTATTTGTAAGGTTTCTTTTGCTACCCTTTCATTTTTAACCTATTAGTGTCTTTGGATCTAAAGTGAGTCTATCATAGAGAGCATATAGTTGGATTGTATGTTTTGGATCCATTTTGACAATCTCTTATCTTTTGATTAGATAATTTAATCTATTTACATTTAAAGCAATTATTGATAAAGAAAAGCTTCTGTTATTTTGTTCTTTGTTTTCTTTTTGTCCTTCATTTTCTGCATCATTGTCTTTTGTATTTAGTTTATTTTTTGTAGTGAAACATTTAATCCTTTTTTATTTCCTTTTCTTTACATTCTTTAACTATTTTCTTTGTGGTTACCATGAGCACTTCATTTAACATCTTAAAACACTGTAACTTGAATGAATTTATACTGGCTTTAGCTCAATAACATACAAGGACCCTGCTCCTTTAACAATTCTATCCCCATTTCTTTTCCTTATTGAAATCACATAGTTCCATCTTTATACATTGTGTGCCCCAAAATATGAACTAAAAAGTTTCAAAATGCATTTGTCTCTTAAATTGTGTATAAAACAAAATGTGAAATTAAAAACCAAAGTTATGGTAATAGTAGCTTTTAGGTTAGCAATTTAAAAAAATTTTGACTCTTAAATCGTGTAGAAAAAATTGCAGTTACAAATTGTTGTTATAGTAATACTAAGGGACTTAAAAAGTTTTGTAGAAAAATTGAAATCATGAGCTTGTTTTGGTGCAAAAATATTGAAACCCATATATACTTTTTTCATATTTATTTTCCATGAACTTTTGGAAAGCCCCCTTATACTAGCTTTTATGATTATCCATGTATTTACATTTATTAAAATATGCATTTCTTCATTTTAAAAAAAATCATTAGAGGGTGCATGTGCTTGCCAGAGAGACAGAGAGAGAGGGGAAAAACCTGTCCTCCAATGGGATGTAATCTTGCCACAACCTCTTCTCAACCTCTCCATCCTTTCAGGATTCTGGGCATTGCACTCACATGTACTTGGCATGCCTCCCAAGCTGCTAGATCTGGGCCTTAAGTCATATGTGATCCAGCTAAAACTAGGCCATGGGATTGGCCCTTTATTTAGTTTTGAGTTACTGTCTAGTAGCCTTTCATTTCACCTTGCAGGGTTCTCTTGAACATTTCTTGCAGGTATAGTGGTAACAAACTCTCTCAACTCCTGTTTATCTAAGAATATCTTAATTATCCCCTCACTTTTTAAAAAATTTGTTGTTGTTGTTTATTTTTATTTCATAAGAGAGGGAGCCACCCTCAACAGAGCCTTCCTGCCACTATCCACTTCCAGTCTCAGTTGACATGCCCAGGGAGGTCCCAGGACACAAACCCAGGACCTTTCCCATGTGGGTCCATTGCAGTGCCACTGCACCATCACTTGGCCCCTGTCTTCTCACTTTTGAAAGCAGTTTTGCCAGATGCAAAGTTCTTGGTTAATGATTTTTTTTTTTTTCCTCTTAGCATGAATTGCAGTATGGGAACCTGGCCTTTTCTTCAGTCAGTAACAGGGAATATATTGTAGTACAACTTGTAAGACTTTGGCACAAACTCTGGACTCTCACTACCTCCTTTAAGTCATCCACAGTCATTCTCCCCTTCACTCTGAGTCACACTGGCTTCTTGTTCCTGCTTGCATACTAATAGTCATCTCTATACTTAGAGCATTTCTTTCCCAGATGGGATATTCCTTAGCTGCCTACAAGTCTTTGCTCAAAAGTAATTTTCCTGCAAAGGTCTTGCCTGATCACTTCTATCAAAAACAATCTCCCTTCTATCCATCACTGTATCCTTTTTAATATTTTTCATTTTTTTAAGTTTATTTATCCTATGAGATAGAGAGAAAACAAACAAACACTCCAGAAAGACAGGTAGCCCCAACAGGGTCTTCATACACAGTCTACCCCTAGTCTCAACTGGCTCAGTTCATGAGGATGCAAGCTAGTAGTATTATCTATTGATTTATAAGCTTTTGGATATATATCATTTATAAGTGATATTGAAATCAATGAATGGTATACCGTGTTTAATTGAAAACTGTAATTACTCAGTAACAAATGAAACTAATAACAGATAAGAACTAAGATTATTGGGTATTTACACAATATGTATATTCAAAATACGGGGAAAAGGATCTTGATAAGTGTGTGGTTATTTAATGGAAGTATTGTGGAATTTTGGAAGAGGTGACTGCTTCCTAATGTAATTTAACCTCTCAAAGAAAAAGCTCAGGCTAGTTCTATTGTCTAGTGGTTAAGGGAGCCAGATGCCACACGGCTGACTGCGATTTGAAGCCTTGCCCTGGCAGCTTGAAAAGCATGCTAGACACATGCGCATTGTACCCCAAATCCTGACAGGATGGAGAAATGGAGGAGAAAGCAAGCCACACTGGAGGATGCTTTCTTCCTCTTTTTCTGTTTCTCTCTAGTAGCATATGCCTTCTGGCAATTTAAAAAAAAAAAAAACAACCCTCTTGATTTTGGCCTTTGAATGCAGATAAATAAATGCGTGTGTTCTTGAGTTTTCTTTTTCTTTTTCTTTTTTTAGATTTTTGATGAGCTCACTGGAGAAAGAGAGAGGAAGGGAGAGAGAAAGGAAATCACTCCCAAGAAGGGATGGCTGCGTCTCAGTTGCTTCTCCTCTATTCTCCTGAAGGGATTTTGGGCACATGTACATGTGCCTAATATGTTTTCCAAGCTGCGAGATCCAGGATTCAAACTACAGAGTAGGCCATTTAGGATCCAGTGCCTTAACCACTACACTACCTGCTTTCCTATTATCTTTGATTTGACAATTTTTTATATCGTACAATTTCATAAGTGTAAAATGAATCAATATTAATAGAACTTAGCTTATAGACTTCTATTACTTATGATATTGACTATGATAAAAGTATATAAAGTGCTACGCACATGCCAGATACATAGTAAGCACTTAAAAAAATTAAGGTATTAGCATCATCTTACCATTATTTTAGGGGTATTTCATGTGTTGATCAGGTTTTCTAAAAATTTTTAAGTAGCTTTGTTCCTAAAGCTCTAAGTAGCTCTAAACATGCCTTTAACCTTAGTCAATATTTCTCAATTTTATACATAAATTAAGAATTGTTAGGTACAGACCAGCTTTTATCTTAACAGACAGGAGGTAAACTAGAGGGATAAATGTTGAAATGATGATAGGTATACTAAATGAGTTAATTTTATTTCAGAGCACCAGAAGTTTTACTTTGTAGGATCTAATTCATCCTCAAGATTTAATTCTCAAAAGTGTCAGTTCTTGTGGATAAATTAAATTTAAAAAGTAGCTAGCAATATTAATTGAATTTAATGCTTTGGTCATAGTATATAGCTTTCCTATATTGGAGTTTTCTCTTTGTTTGTTTGTTTTTTAAGAGAGATTTTTGCTATAGGGCACATGCACTCTCCAGAGAGAGAGAGAAACAGAAAGTGAGAAATCACCTTCTGGAGGAATGGCCATGCTGCAATCCCTTCTTCTTCATTCTTTTCTTGGGATCTTGAGTGGCATGCACACACACATGCCCAATGTGAGTTTTAAGTTGCTGGATCTGGAACTTGAACCATGATCAGCTATGTGGGAGTTCAGCAACATATCCATTATGCCATTTGCTGGTCCCTGATGGAGTTCTTAGGAAAGAAGCTTGATTAATATGACTGCTGGTTTTCCATTATTTGAGCATTATAAAAAGAACTTTTTATAGCAAAATTAAGTCTTTAGAAAAAAATAAAATTACATCTTTAGGAAAAAAAAATTTAAGAATTATTTTATTTAACTTTATTTATTTATTTAAATTTGACCGGAGAAGGACACAGAGAGAGAGTGAGAAAGCAAGCCGCCAGGTTCAGGACTCGAACTACGCTCAGCCATATGGAAGTCCAGTTTCCTTAACCACTGTGCCACCTGCCGGCCCTCTCTTTAGAAAATTTTAACACCTACTTAACATTGTTTTTTGTTCTTTCTGGTTGGTGTTTACTTTTCTAGTGATTAGTGATTAAAGGCTGTATGGCTTTCTGATTTTAAGAAGTTAGTAAGCACAGGTAGACATGTGACAGTTTATCAGTTACCTGGTAAAATGTCTGATTTACACTTGATGACGTAGGATGGGTCACAGTCAAAATGCTGAAATACAAAAGTATTGTATAAAATAACCTTAAAGCTGTGTGTATCAGACATATATGGGACATAAATGAATTCCATGTTTAGACTTCAGTCCTGTCCTCAATATATTCATTATATATAGGCAAATATTAAAAAATAAAAAAAGGGGGGGGGACCAGTAAATGGAGTAATGGTTACGTCGCCGGGCTCCTTCATGGCCAATTGCAGTTTGAATCCCGGAAATGGCGTCTTGAAACACATGCTGAGCACACGTGCCCAAAATCTTGAGAGAGTGGAGAAGGGATTGCAACATGGCCACCTCCCCCTGGGGAGTTTCTTTCAGTCTCTCTTTCTCTGTCTCCTTTCTGTCCTGTTGCCCTATAGCAAAAATCTCTCTCATAAATATATCTAAAACACTTATGGTTCCAAGCATTTTGGATAAGAGACACTCAACCTAGAATTAGTAATTTCATTTTATCTTAAGTTCTCAGCTAATAAAACCTGTTTTATTTTTGTAGTTAATATTAGGTTATCATCTATGAAACTCCATTAAAACATATTTATTGTGTAAACTAGGAGCCTTTTGTGGCAGATGAGTATATTGAACGTCTTGTATGGAGAACCCCAGGAGGAGGCTCTAGAGGTGGACCTGAAGCTTTTGATCCAAAAAGGTGAAGTAAAAACTCATTTTATTTTCACAAACCCAATTAATAATTGGTCAATAAAATACACAAACAGCATGGTAAGTTTGGGATTGTGTTTTTGCTGTTACTTTTATTTTAGAGAAGCACTTTAAGAAATTTAAATAAGGAAAGATTTTTGTTTGTTTTTTGTTTATTTGTTTAATTTGCTACAAGGTGTCTGCACTTGAGAAAGAGACAGAGAGAGGGAAAATGAGAAAGCACCCTTATGGGGGATGATCACATCTTAGTCACTTCTCTATTTCTCCTGTCTTTCAGGATTTGGGGCAGATGAGCACACGTGCTCAGCATGTTTTCAAGCGACCAGGGTCTAGGACTCAACTGCAGTTGGCCTTGTGGGATCCAGCCATCTTGACCACCATGCCACCAGCTGGCCCAGGAAGGGATTTTATTGACTATAAGAATTTAATATTTTCTCTAGTTAGTAGTAAATTAGAAAGGATTGGTTATACTTCTAAAATCAAAACATGTTGAATTTGTTGTTTTATGGTTAGTGGTAAATTAGGGAACCAGAAAGTGACAGAACTTTGGAATTTATAATGTTCTTTTTATATGGTATATTTACCTTCATGACTGTTTAAAATAGGCTGTTAAATTCATTTCTGCTCTGGGGGGGTTTAAGGAGATCTTGGGTAAGATTTTCATCCACCAAAAAATCAATAAAGACTGGTTGTATTTTTGAATGTTGTGTTTATTTTAAAAGTATGTGACCTGAACAAAGCTATGAACAAGCCATAAAGTTATAGAAAGACTTTGTCTTTTGATTGAAGAAATTCTGAAGATGCTATAGAGAAAACGAACATGATCATCTCTAGTTCAAAAAACTCTTTAATAAGACTTTCAAGTGAATAGGTTAGTTGCTAATGATTAAACGTAGATTGATGCATATTCTAACTTTCTTCTATTAGATTATTGGAAGAATTTGTAAATCATATTCAAGAACTCCAGATAATGGATGAAAGGATTCAGAGGAAAGTAGAGAAACTAGAGCAACAGTGTCAGAAAGAAGCCAAGGAATTTGCCAAGAAGGTACAAGAGCTCCAGAAAAGCAATCAGGTAAACATTTAGCTAAGCAATGAATAGCTTATATAGGTTATAATAAGAAATACTGGTTTCCTTCCAGTGTTTTTTAAATTAAAACAACTTTTTTTTTAGTTACTAGAAGACACACGCACTATCCTGAGACAGATGTGGGGAGAGAGAGAGAGAAAGCACTCTCCAGTGAGAACTGGTCATGCTGCAGTCCCTTCTCAATGCATTTCTCCATCCTGTCAGGATTTGGGGCATGCATGCATATACACTCAGTATGTTTTTTTCAAATTCTGGGGCTAGTGTTTGAACCATGATCAGCAACATGGATCCATCTTTTTTAACCTCTAGCTGGACCAATTCCCTACCAGATTTAAGCTCTTAAATAAAAGTCTAGTCAAGTGATAGTAACTGTTGAAGTTTTCTCTACTGCCTAGGTCTCATGGCATAACATGTAAAATGAATTGTTATCAAGTACTCTTGGCTTTGGCTTGCTACTGAATGTTGGTTTGGAATCACAGAACTCCCTTCCCAGGACGAAGTGATTGATACCCAGTTCAGTGTGATCCTTGCTTCCCTTTAACTATGCAAACTTTCAAGATGACACTTAGTTGATTTGTACTTTTAGGAACTCAGCTATTAAAGTAATCACTTGGACTTTCTTTAACGTTAAATTAATGTAACACCAGACTAGCTATTGCCTGGACCACTTTTTTACCCTAGAGAAAAACCCTGTGATAAAGTATATCCCCAAGGAAAAATTCTAGGAAAATTGAACCCCGAACTCTTTTTTTCATTTTAGAGTAAAACCAAACTACTAGAAACTGGCTCTAGAGCTAAGTGTGCCATGCTTCTGAGTCACTCTAGACTTAATTTGGAACTTTTTTTTTTAAAGAATTATTTATTTATTATTATTTTTCATTTGAATTTTGCCGAAGACAGAGAGAGAGAGAGAGAGAGCAAGCGAGAGAGCGAGAAAGCCACCAGGTCCAGGACTCGAACCATGGTCAGCCATGTGGGAATTCCAGCACCTTAACCACCATGCCACCTGCTGGCCCTTAATTTGGAACTTCTGAATCCCTTTTACAGTCAGGACATAATCTGAAATTTGATGTTGCTTTCCAAGTATAGTTTGAGGAGTACTGTTCACCTTTCTGCCTCTCAGGGCCATTTGTTCTTTAGTGTTAGGGATTAGCAAGTTGATTTCTGTTAAAGTTTTATTTATTTAGATTCTTTGGCTTAAGTATATATGACTGTGAGAAAATAATTAAGGAAATCAATAATTTAAATAAGATAGGAAATGTGTTTTTAAGTGGTGAGGGTGACAGCTTTCAAATAATTACTATATCCCTTAGGAATAATAAAAATATTAATAGTTAAGCTAGCAAGCTTTGGAGCCAGTCTGCCAGAATTTGAATTGTATCTCTGCCATTTATTAGCTGTGATAACCCAAGCAATTTAATCTCTGTGCCTCAGATTTTTATCTCTAAAATGTGTGGTTGTGAGGATTAAATAAGTAAATACGTATCATATGTTTAGAACAGTGTCTAGGACAGAGGAAGGCCTCAATAAATGTTTGTAGCCTTTTCTCCTTCAATTTAAGGTTATAATAAAAATGTTATACTGAATTATCAGTAATTCTGCTATTGACAATTTTAAGGTATTCATTGACATAATTTTTGCCTACCACAGAGCAATCAGTGTACCCTGGGAAAAGGGAAAACGTATCCTAGAAAGTAATACATCTTTGCTTTACTAAAAATAATTCTGTAATCTTTTCTGTTTTTGTAACTGGGAAATAAGAATTTTGCTTTATATATAATGCTGGTATCACTTCTTATTGATTTTGTATTCTTTTTTGTGAGAGACTTTTGCTGTAGGGCATGTGCACTCTCCAGAGAGGCAGAGAGACAGAGAGACAGAAATCGAGAAATCACTCCCCAGGGGGAATAGCCACATTGCATTCCCTTTTCCTTCATTCTCCTCTTGGGATTTGGGATACACATAAACACATGCCTGGTGTGAGTTTCAAGCTGCCAGGTCCAGGACATGAACTGTGGTTGACCACATGGGAATCCAGCACCTTAACCACTACGCCACCTGCCGGCATAGCATCACTTTTTAAATATTTAAAAATAAATGTCAAATACTCTGTTTTTAATTCTTTTCCTTCTGACATTTTATTCTTCACAGCTTAGTAGCAAGAGGATTCTTCAGGTATCTGGTACCTTTGATGTTTAGTTCATTGTTTTAAAAATAATTATTTAGGGCTAAATAGTGCCAGGTACTTTGTTAAACAGTATGAATAATAAGTAACCTTTTAGCTTTTTTTGTTAAGTAATGTATTAATAAAAAAAAGCAAGAGTCCTCTTACGTTACACTTCACCAGAGACTGGCCTCTATCTGGATACTACATTTTGACTTGTGCTTTCTTGTTTAAGAGCAGGTAGACCATCACATGTGCTAGAATTTACTGTGCCAAAACTCCATCTCTAGTTCCAGGAACAGTGGTACCTAGAGGAGAGCAGCAGAGGAACCTGGGGATGAATTTCATTAGGACAGCAGAACCCCGGGGAACAGTACCAGTGACTGACCAAAAAAAAGTGTCAGGACCAGCAGATGGCATAATGGTTACATCGCTGGACTCCCATGTAGTCGATTGCAATTAGAGTCTGTGTGTGTGCCCAAAATCCTGAGAGGAGACTGTAAGAGAAGGGATTGCGGCATGGCCATCTCTCTTGGGGATGTGAGGGAATTTCTTGCTTTCTGTTTCTATCTCTCTGGCAAGTGCACACACCCTATAGCAAAAATCTCTCTCTCTCTCAAAAAAAGTGTCAGCAGCTTAATATATCAGATTTCAGATGTGTAAGCTATTGATTTAACATTGTAATCTAAAAATGTTTATATTAAATAACTTAATGTTTTAAATTTATATAGATCACATCATTGTTATATGCAGGCAAATATGTGAAATATCTTTTCATTTATTCCAACAGTTATTCATTTTAGAAAATAAAGACTAAAGATATTCGAAGTTTAAAATAGTGTTCAAATTGCAAAATTTGGCAATTTCAGTGTAAAATCTTTTTCCTAACTTTTCAAAAAAATATTGGTTACAAGAAAGCATAGTTGGAATCATCTGAAGATAATTTTTAAAATTAAATTAGCACATACTGACTTTTACATTTAACTTAGAATTTTCTTTTTAATAGATTTTTTGCACATTGATTGGCTTCTGGGTTGTGGCTTTTATTTTGTTGCTTTATTATTCAAGGTTTTAAAAATTATTGAATTTTATTTATTGTAATTATTTTTTAATTTGCTATAGTACATGTGCACTTACCAGATAGAGAGAAAGCAAGCTGCCAGATCTGGTACTTGAACCATAGTCAGCCACGTGAGAGTATAACACCTTAACTACCACACCACCTGCTGGGCCCTCAAGGTTGTTTTTTGTTTGTTTGTTTTTTGCAGGGAGTTAGATTGTTCTTCAATGTTTACTATGTTTTAGTAGACAAATTGAATTTTGTTGTTCATTTATGTAATATTTGATACCTTGGTGTAATTTCACAACATAGTTCCAGTTTTATGACTTTTATAATTACAGTGCTATTGTCTTTTGTAATAAAATCCAAAGTAAATTAAACATTTAAATCTTAGAACCGACATTTTTCATGTATAGAAAGTACAAATTGCTACCAAGTCTATAATGTGAATAATCCTGCCTTTCAAATTTGTTTCATAATTGTTAGAAGAAAACTATCATTTGGAGATGTTATGAAGTTAAAAAGAACAATATAAGTTGATTTAATTAAAAATAATAAAATTTATGATAATTTTATTATTTAAAGTTGTAAGAGTTTGCAACTGAGCTTTAAAAATAAAAGGTTTTGAAGTCATATCATGCCGATGATTTTGAATTGTTTTTACAGATCATCTCATATATAAATAACCTCTATTTTCTCTTTTGTTAGAGAGAGTGGAGAGTAGTATTGACATTGGTTTAGTTTTGGTGTATAACTAAACTTATATATTGCATTCTCTGATTGTATTTTATGCTTCTGCACATTTTTCCTAGGTTGCCTTCCAACATTTCCAAGAACTAGATGAGCACATTAGCTATGTAGCAACCAAAGTCTGTCACCTTGGAGACCAGTTGGAGGGGGTAAACACACCTAGACAACGGGCAGTGGAAGCTCAAAAACTGATGAAATACTTCAATGAGTTTCTAGATGGAGAATTAAAATCTGATGTTTTTACAAATTCCGAAAAGGTAAGCACTGCCAGAGGATAAAAGCAAAGCACAGCATTAATAACAATGCCCTGATTATGCGCTATAGTTATTACTTTCTAGAGTCAGACTTCAGATCACTGAATAGCTGAGAGTAGCTAACTTATTAAAATTTTTTATTACTTTGGAATGTCAACTTTGTACCTCAGATCATTGGTGAAGTATTTATACTGTTTTAATTGGATTGCTTGGCGCTTTTGTTTATGAAATTTTGTCTGATTTAGGAATGCTGAGGTAACTAAATTCATAAGTATTTTTTCAACATAATTGACTCCTTACAGAATTTCTATAGTCTTGAATAGTTACATTTACTGGGTGGTGGTGCAGTGATCTGACCTAAATGATTGATAAGCTGAAATATCTTTCTGTAAAGGAATTCAGAAGTTCTTATTTTTTACTGGATATACGTATAAATTGTGAATTAATTTATAAGTTGAAAAACTGAAATATACATGTGTTATAAAGAATTAAAGCATTTGGGGCCAAGTAGAATTGAAGTCTGAATTAACTGTTTATATTAATCCTTTTTATAGTTCTCATCACCTAACCCTAGTCTAAAGTTATGTTGTTGGCTGCTTTATGATCTTGAAAGAAGATAATTTAGCTCACTTTCTTCCCCTCAAATGCATGAAATATGGGCATTTGTATAGATCATATGGGCACAAAGTAACATTGTCCATTCATATAACTGAATACAGTCATCCTAAATTATTCCAAATTTATTCTATAGACTATCTCAGTTGAATGTTTAAAGACGGTATTATTGATGTGTACTTTGAATTAAGGGAGACTTTTTTTTATGAGTAGGACTCTGTAGGGTTTAGAATATATAATTTTGAAATCTTTGAAAAGTGTTTATATATGTATAGATAATTCCTTTAAAGAAAATATATTATTTTAAAGAACAAGTTTCATGAATTGTATTTGTAGTATAAAGTTTAGGTCAACACCAGTAAAATTGTAATTCTTAAAAACTTGTTAAATGTTGGCAATATCTAGCTTTTGTATATTTATATTTGTGTGAGTTTATACAAGACTTGGACACTTTTTCAGGAGCATTATGGAATGTTTTATTTTTACTTTGTAAGTTTTCTAAATGTACATTTTTAATGTACATTAATGTGGTCATTGCATTACTTGGATTATACTTATTTAATTATATATTGGGTCATCGGAAAAGTCATATTTTTTCTACGTAAAAATGTGTCATGACTTTTCCGATGACCCAATAGTATATTTATGCTCTATCATACACAAAATATAGATACTGTACCTGATGTGCATTGGTCTGTTTATCTGAATGTAGGCCACGATAGTCATTTAGAATATAAAGGAAAATAAATATCTTTTATTTGATTATTTTTCAAAGAATTATTTTTATTTAACTTTATTTATTTTAATTTGACCAGAGAGGGACAGATGAGCAAACCGCCAGGCCTAGGACTTGAACTGTGACTGGCCGTGTGGCAATCTGGCACCCTTAACTACCACGTCATTTGCTGGCCCCATATTTTATTAATATTTTGAGGTTTTTGCTTTAGTGTGTGTGAGCCTGCCATGGAGAGAGACAGAGACAGTGAGAGGAAAAGTGAGAAATCACCCCCCAGGGGAGATGGCCATTCTGTAATCCCTTCTCCTCCCAGAATCTTGGGCTCACACACACACACACACACATATTTTTCATGAGTTTCAAGCCACTGGGTCTGGGACTTGAACTGTGGTTGGCCACATGGGAGTCCACTGCATTACCATATGCTATCTGCTGGCCCCAATAAATATTTTTTAAGTTGACTGATTTTGTTTTAACCTAATTTGTATTTTTGATATTTTGTATCATGAACTATATTCTTTACAATTTCCTTTAAAACTTCCTGTGTGTGTGTGTGTGTGTGAGTGTGTGTGTGTGTAAAGTTTTTGCCATAGGGCACATGTGCTCTCCAGAAAGAGACAGTGAGAAGGAGGATGAGTAATCACCCCCTTGTGGGGATGACCACATGAAATCCCTTCTGCAGCATTTTCCCCCTGGGATTTGGGGCACACATGCACACATGCCCAATGTGAGTTTCAAGCTGTTGGTCCCGGACTTGAACTGTGGTCGGCCATGTAAAATCCACCGCCTTATCCACTATGCACCACCTGCTGACCCCTCTTTTAAGCTTTTAAATGATCTTTAAGCAGTTGTCTAGTTCATGGTTTTATTGTTGTCTCTTAACTATTTAGGCTTTTTTTTTTTTTTTTTAAGAGATTTTTGCTATAGGGTCGTGTACTTGCCAGATAGAGAAACAGAGACAGAGAAAAATAACACCACCACCACCCCTCCCCCCCCCCACACACACACCAGGGAGGATGGCCATGTCACAGTCCCTTCTCCTTTATTCTCCTCTGGGGATCTTGGATATGTACACAAATGTGCCTGGCCTGAGTTCAAGTAATTGGATCAGGGACTTGAACCACAATCAACTATGTGGGAGCCCAGCGCCGTAACCATTATGCCATCTGCTGTTCTCAATTTTTGAGGTTTTAATTGAAAGAAAAAAATCCTTAATTCTTGTTAGCTAATTCATTTAGTTACAAGCTGTCCATAATTTTGGAGGATTAAGTATAGACTAACAAAGTTTTTAACTTAATTCCTCTTGTTTTCTCTTCCTTGCTTCATTCTCTTCTGTGTCCCTTTTCTTTTGATTTCTTTCATGTTCCTTATTTTCTGACACTTTATTCCTCATTATTGTTTGTCTTGTTTTTCTCTCACCTCTCACACAGTTTTGAGTTACTGTTTGCTTGTTAAGAATCATTATTTTTGGCCTGGTAAGGTCACAGTTAACCACCCCTGACCAGCAGGTGGCGTGATGGTTAAGGCACTGGACTCCCACATGGCTGACCACAGCTTGAGTCCTGGACCTGGTGACTTGCTTTCTCACTGTTCCTCTCTCTCTCTTAGTCTCTCTCTGGTCAAATGAAAATAATAATAATAAATAAAGTTAAATAAATAATTCTTTTAAAAAAGTACCTTATATAAGGTATTAGTTTGTCAATTATCAGATAAACTTCTAGCTGAGTTTTTGGATTTTGTGCCCTACTTTCCCTGTGGGGGGAAAATGGAAAATCACCTACATAAGTTAGAGAGATGTATGTTGTGGTAGGAGTTAGAATGGGATAAAATATTAACACACTATATTCCTCTTTCTTCCTGTCCCATAGTCGTGTGTGTGTGTGTGTGTGTGTGTGTGTGTGTTTATCTTTCTTCTCTTTAGGTTTTTGCCATAAGGTGCATGTGGTGTCTGGAGATAGAGGGAAAGTGAGAAGTCACCATCCAGGTGGGTCTAGCAGTTGGCATAATGGCTATGTCGCTGGACTCCCACGTAGCTGACCGTGGTTCAAGTCCCGGACTTGGTGGCTTAAACTCACGATGGGCGTGTGTGTATGCGTGCCCAAGGTCCCGAGAGGAGAACGGAGGAGAAGGGATTGCAGTGTGACCGTCCCCCATAGGGGGGTGCTTTCTAGTTTTCTGTCTCTCTGTCTTTCTGGTGAGCACATGCGCCCTATAGCAAAAAAAAACTCTAAAAAAATAAAAAATCACCATCCAGGGGTTATGGATATGCTGCAATACCTTCTCTTCCACTTTCCTCTGGGATTTTGGGCACACACACGTCCAGGATAATTTTCAAGCTGTGGGATCTGGAGTTTGAACCATTGCTGGCCATGTGGGAATTTAGTGCCTTAATCGCCATGCCACCTGCTGGCCTCCGTTTGTGACTTTTTAGTCTTTGATTCAGAATCTTCTCTGAAAAATAACCTATTTTATGTTTACCTCTTTCCTTACACGTATGTTGGTTTTCTTTCTAGAACTGTAACTTATTGTTCTCCCTATAGATAATACCTAATGACTTTGATTATCTTTATTTTTTTAAAAGAATTATTTTACTTAACTTTTTCATCATTATTATTTAATTTGACCAGTGAGAGACAGGGAAAATGAGAAAGCAAGCCGCCAGGTCCAGAACTCGAACTGCAGTCGGTCATGTGGGAGTCCAGCACCTCCAACTATCACGCCACCTGCTGGCCCCGACTTTTGTTATCTTTAACACACTTTGTTAGTATGAGTAATCTTTTACTTCACTCTATATCAGTAACATGTGTAAGCAAATTATCGAATTGTGGTTTTGACAGCTTTTGCACTTACTGCTGTTGTAGTGTGGCTTAATAAATTAACTGTAGTATATTTTAACTTTAAGGGCTACTTATGTTTTAAATAATTTACAAAATAATTAGCTATGGGAATTTAATAGAAACAAGCATTATTTACTGCTAAACTACATTAAAGTTTGGAAACGGCACGTGATGAAGACTTCTAGCTCTTAAAATAGCAAGAACAAACTTAGAGAAACATAGAGCTGACTTTGTTCAAGGCATATTCTTTCCGAAGGGGGTCTTGGTGAGGATAAAGTGATAGATTTCACTAGTATAAGTAAATGACATGGTGAGGAGTGATACTGTGTCCATTTGCAGCAG